GTGTGTGTGTGTGTGTGTGTGTGTGTGTGTGTACATGAGAGCTGGGGTATTTTACAGGAGTAGATGTGAACAAGCTGGTGTGAGCGGAACGCTTCTATGATACTGGGGTGCATCTGTGCCCTGTGAGTTGGACCTTGCTGTCTCTACTCTCATCATGAGTCTGCACCACTCAAGGTGTATATATCTTCCCATCAGGTGAAAGAGGAGTCAAAGGTGACCCTGGCACACCTGGAGTTGGCCTCCGAGGAGAGATGGGTCCCCCTGGAATACCAGGTATGAAGGTTCAGTCTCTCAGGCTGGGTGAACATCAACCATAGAGGTAGGGGGCACACAGCGGTACCCCTGCTTGTGGGAAGAGAAGGAGCTGGGCCACTCTAAGGAGAAACAGGAGCACTCATTGTTTAATGAAATATTTTGCAAGTCCTCAAGGTATACCTCCTAAATCAAAAGTCTCAATCACTTATTTACTGTTTCAAAATAGCCAGAAGAACGGATATTGGTGTTTCCAACATAAAAATATGATGAATATTTGGGATGGTATAGAAGCTAATTATGTGTGGATTTGTTTGGTTTGGATTTGTTCATTACATATTGTACCCATGTCCTGAAAAGAAATCACACTGTCTGCTCTTGTGGAGGAACTGGGTTTGATTCCCAGCACCCACGGGGCAGCTCACAATATCTGTAACTCCACTTCTAGGGGATTTACTGCCCTTTCCTGGTATCCACTGGGATGGAAGCACATGGTACACAATACATACATGCAAGAAAAACAGAATGTACATAAAATATAAATAAATATCAATCAAAAAGCAAATCATGCCCCAGAAACATACAAAATTATTATGTTCCAATTAGAAATAATAAATGACCAAATATGAGAAATGGTCTGAGGGGAGAGAGGGATCAGCATATGCTAAATAAGCCTAGGCGTGTTGGAGATACATCTCTCTTTAGGACTTTCCTTCTACACTTCAACTCACCTGAAGTGGTAAGACTCCCCACCAGCAAGGTGACATTCATCTTCTTAAACCCCACACCCATTCATGCCCCATTAGCCTTTCTCAGAAATATGCCTAGGAAACCTTAACCAAAGGTTCAGCCAAAGGTGAGCCTCCTGAGGGTCAGGGTTTGTGGGGTTTGGGACTTTCATTTCTGAAGCCTGGAAATAATGGGGAAAATGGCAACTGGTCAACCACCATGCCTTGATGTCTGTACTGGGAGATCTCCTGAGGGCAGCAGCTGTCACCCTAGAAAGGAGGTGTGAGTGTAGAAGACCCTCAACTCTAGCTTGTCAAATTCTATCTCACAAGCAGTCATGTGCATGCGTGTGTATGTTTTTAAGTGTGTGTGTGTGTGTGTGTGTGTGTGTGTGTGTGTGTGTGTGTGTGTGTGTATTTGGGAGGCAGTGCTAGAAATTGAACCTAGGCCTCATGAATGTTCTACCATCAAACCCTACCCCTACCCCAGCCCTGAGGATTTTACTTTTTAAATTTAACTCTTAACTTTTATGCTTACTCTGAATCATTTATGAACATTTGACCTATTTTTAATTTAACTTTAGTTTTATTCTTCTATGATTTTCCAAATTTGCTACAGTTGGACACCTGCTCTGATTTTTATTAGAGATGATGGTTTGACATAAATATTGTTTATATCTTGCTGAGTTTCAAATAGGATGAAACAGAAATACTATTCTGAAATAGGAGAACTTGTAGGAAAGGGAACAGAAGGGGCTGTGTGCAGAATATCGGGTAGGTTACACCAGTGTGAGGTTGAATCAGGGACCATCCTCAGGGCATCCCAGTGGAAGGCATGGTTAGCACTGCTGAAACAAGGACTTCTCACAAGCAGGGCTGTGCATTAAATAACTCTTGCCAGACCATCAGCAGAGTTCCTGAATTCTAAAGACACTCACAATGGAAAGGTTTGCGTCTTGTTTACTTTATTAAAAAAATACTTTGACAGAGTGCTAAGAAGTAAAGGAAAATGTGACATACCCAGGGTGGCCACCACATCTAGCACCAAACTTCCCAGCTGTTGAGGCAAAAGAGGGAGTTTAGTACATATGATACCATAGCATTTGGTAAGTGCAGGCATAGAAGTTTATTTATAGGTAATATTCTCTCAATCTAAAGAGAGTTTTTGGACTCTATAAAGGCCAGTTATGTATATCCTGGATGCTATATTTTTCACGTGGTATAATAAAATAATATAGTTCAAGTATGTGATTCAAGTTTAGCATGTAGATAAGACTGAGAAAAGATAACAGATCTCAGACAATTTGAATGTTGAATTAATACAGGGTCATCAGGTGTCCCTGTAAGGACAGGTACACTGGGCTGAGGCTCACTATTTTGGCATTCCACTCAGAATTCAGATGTGTCATGTAAGAGCAGAGGGCTCTGCTTTCTCATCTGACTGGAGTGGAAAGCTTTCACCCCAGCAGACCACACTTTCCCTTGTTTGTTTCTCCTCCATGGTGTCTGGATTCTTTCCCCAGCTCAGACAGTAAAGATGCCCTTCTGCTGTTCTATCTGATGCTCACGTGGGCCATTCTCTCTCTCAGTCTACAGCATCAGGCAGAGGCTAATCTCTCTGAGTACATGTTGAATCCTATTTCATATCATGTAGTCACAAAGATTACAGGGATCTTTCACTCCTGGATATAATCCTTCTTCTGAATGTGAATGCCTTCTGTTTCTTTTGCTTCTTGGTCTAGGTCAACCTGGGGAACCCGGCTATGCTAAAGATGGACTCCCAGGAAGCCCTGGCCCTCAAGGAGAGACAGGACCAGCTGGACATCCTGGTCCCCCAGGCCCTCCCGGCCCTCCCGGCCAGTGTGACCCCTCCCAGTGTGCATACTTCGCCAGTCTTGCTGCCCGGCCAAGTAATGTGAAGGGCCCATAGAAGATTCTAGAACATCACTACTATGGATTTCTGAAACTTGAACTCAGAGCTCAGTGGGAAGCCAGAAGCCTTGAAACATTTCAGATCCTTTTTTTTCTCTTCTCCCCCTTTCTCCCACCTTTTCATCCTGTTTCCCTCCCTCATACTCTTGCCTCCTTGCCTGCCTACCTTCAGTTCTCTCTTCCCTTCCTCAGAGACCTCACAGTTATTAAAACCAACAGATGCTGTCAGCCAGATATTATTAATATTGTTATTATTTGTTATTTCAAATGCTAATGGGTCTGGGGGAGCATGCTCGTGGACAGGAAGTGGTTTCCTGGCTCAGCTCCCCTGTCAGCAGTAGCAGAAGTGTGGCAGCCAATTCTGAGGAACCCTCGGTGCTATGCAGCCCTGCCCACACACTTGCTGAATTTACCTCCTTCCTGGAAAGGAAACTTTAAGGGATTGGAGCCCAGGAGCTTCTTTTCTCAGTGTGCCTAGAGATGGCCCAGGGAAAAAGTAAGTTTGGAATCCCCACCTCCCAGGAGAGACTTGAAGCAGAAAGAGGAAGAATTTGCAGCCTGGAAGAATGCATTGACCTCTGGACACAAGATGCACATCTGGAGTTCAGAACTACCCTCGGGGGGTGACATCCTTGGTGCTTCAAGCTACTGGAACCAAAAGGAGTCACACAGGGGGTTGGCAGTGGCTTGTGTCTGGGCCCTCACTGGACAAGGTGCTGCTGAAGAAGAGATCTGGGGTATGAATTTGCTTCTGAGACATGGTCTGGACCCCATTAAGTTCCTCATGCTGGTTTCAGTTGTGTGAATTGCAAAATAAAGGTTTCCAGTGGCCACTTGCCTATCTTACTTGAGGTATTTTTTTATTGCATACCTGGGGATCTGTATCAGTCACACGTGTGTGTGTGTGTGTGTGTGTGTGTGTGTGTGTGTGTGTGTGTGTGATATACACACCATGAACAGTCACTCACTAAATGTGTTTCTGTCTCAGTTGCTCTCCAGCATTTATTTCCCTTCTCTAGCATCTTCTGAACTTCTTGAGCACTAGGTGAGTCTTCTTGGAATGGCAGTACCTTGCCTACCTGTTTCCTCCAGATATTGGGACAAACAAGTGTGGCATGGAGCTAGCAGGGACTTCATCCCCATGCCATTTTCGGATGCATCCTTCTGTTTTGCATATGGAAAGAAACCCCTTTCCTATACTCAGAACCACTATGGGCAGGGTTTGTTGCAAACTGGAAAGTTGACTTCAGTAGGATGTTTTCTGCATCCTCACCAGCAGCCTGAAAGAATTGTTCTTCCTGCCTGTATTCTCCACTTCACTGAGGACATTGCTGGATTGTCTGATGAAGCTGTCCATTCATATGTTGCCTTAGTTAGGGTTTCAATTGCTGTGATAAAACACCATGATCAAAGACAAGTTGTGGAGGAAAGGGTTTAATTCAGCTTTCAACTCTCAGTTCATACTCTATCAGTGGGGGAACTCAAGGTAAGAACCTAGAGTCAGGAACCTAAGTAGAAGCCATGAATGAATGCTGCTTACTGGCTTTCTCTCCATAACTTTCATCAAGGACCATCTTCCTTTGGAAGGAACAAACCCAAGGGAGCTGAGCTCACCCACATCAATCATTAATCAAGAAAGTGCACTATAGACTTGTCTACAGGCCAGTCTTATGGGAGAATGTTCTCAGTTGAGTCCCTTTTCTCAAATGACTTTTAGCTTATGTCAAGTTGATATAAAATTAACCAACACACATGTCCACACGTCCAAGTGGCCACACTTAGACAACATTGGTCTGCCGCACCACTCCATTGCATCCTTGACTTAGACACTTCTGATTGATTTAGGAACCAGAAGTATAAGTATCCAAAGAATGCTGATGATTGCTTAGGTAGAGAAGAAGTATTACTGTAGTAATTTTAAGATAAAATCTGAGACCTGTTCCTCCTGTTAGGCAAATTGATGTTGATGCAGAAGGTGGATTTTTAGTAGGTTTGAGGGGTAGCATACATCAGTGCAGGAGAGTATTCCTCTGGAGCCTCTTTCACATCTACAGCTCAGTTTTCTTCAATACCATTTGAGATGCCAAAGTAATGTAATATTTTTGTTTGAAGAAATCTCAAGGTCTTAAAACTCTTCTCCAGTGAGAGCATGACCTGCAGCAAGAGGTGCATTTAAACTCTCTCTGTCTCTCTGTCTCTGTCTCTCTCTCTCTCTGTGCATACCAAGAATTTTGGGATAAAATATTTACCCTGACAAAGCAAGAAGCCCTCTAACATTTATTTTTATTTTATTTTTTGTTACTATTTTAAATGGAATATGTTTATAGAAAATTTAAAGCCATAAAAAAAGATTAAGGGTAAAGTAGTACAATTTCCTATGTATGCCCTGTCCCCATGCACACATAACACCCCCCTATCAAAACTCCACTGTAGAGTACACATTTGCTACAGTTACTACAACTTGGTCCTACAATACATGGACCCACCATTATAGTTTCACATAGAGAAGTTCCATTGTCCCCAAAGCCTGTTGTACTCTGTCAGATCATTCATTTCTCCCACATGACCCCCAATAAATGAGGATCTCTATGTTCTTCCTGTACTTTTGCTTTTTCCAGAATCCCATAGTTAGGGTCATATAGATTGGAGCCTTTTCAAACTAGCTTCTTTCACTTAGCAATGTGCATTTAATATTCTTCTGTCTTTTTGTGGCTGGATGGCTCATTCCTTTTTTATTCTGAATAATATTCCATTGTTTAGACATACCATAGCTTTTGTATCACCTCATCCACTGACTACCATCTTGGTTGATTCCTAGTTATAATAATTGTGAATAAAACTCCTGTAAGCATCCATTCATTAAATGTGAAGGAGAGTTCTTGTTCACATTCTGTGAGGTCAGCGTTTTTGCATCTTGGCTCTTCTCTTGTATGGAAGTACTACTTGTTTTGCTTAGCAGTTCTATGATGACAAAGAAAAGCAAGCATCATTTCTCATGTGTATGTTTTCTTTGGTAAGATGTCTGTTGAGAGATTTTTGTCATATATTTTTAAAACCTGTTTTTAATATTGGGTTTTATTGTATATAGTAGCTCATATCTATTTCTCAGAAACCTGACCATCCTTAGGCCCTGGATTGCTGCAGAATTAGGTGTCCTTGTTTTATCCCAGAGGAATCATGGTTGAGAAAACAACACCAAATATGTCACACTAAAAGTAGAAAGGGTGGTCCTTCATCATGAAACTGAGGTTTGTCTGTTTTTTGAAGTTGAAAATGACTCATTCTAGAACATACACAAGTCAAGTCCCCAGCTGCTGTGAAAGAGTTTCCCTCTCCCCAGTCAGTGATACAAGCTGCAGGAGCATCTGCATCCCCTGATGCCCAAGGCTGGGGGCTCTGGGGCTCTCTGCTATCATTTTCTAAAGGGCACCTAAGCACTCCTGATTGTATGCAGAGGGCTTGGCAAATGAGCTTCTCAGATATGCAACACACGTAAAGGAAATGTCTAATTCAGTGTGGCGTACTTCTGGCTGCTCTATCATGTGGCTGGAAGTGCTGCTTCAGGATTATTATTGCATCCTTGCTTTCTCTCTTACCCATTGTGAAGATCCATCTCAGGGTCCTCCTATCACTAGTATCCTTAGAAGCAATGTATGCCATAATGTATAAAGTTATAGATAGTAAGCTAGTGAAGCTATTTAAAGCCTCAGACCCAGCTGAGATGTGTGATGTGAGGGCTAAGATTGTCCTCAAGACATTGGTAGCCTGAAAAGGTGCAGGGAAACCAAGTGTTGCCTCACCAACCACATCAAGACCTGTTCTCTGTTGCTACATATGGACATATTCAGGTGTTTCTTGAGAGCCGCTGGTAGTGAAAGTCCATGAGAGTATACAGCAGTGACAACTAGTGTTCAGAAGGTCAGCCTATCAGAACTAAGGGTTCTAATAGAGAGGACCATCACATAAGGTGTTATGGAATTACTGACTTTTGAATGAACTGGCTGTTTCTTGTTGTAAACTTCTTGTGCAATAACAGATATGAGTCTCCCCACTTACCATGCATCTCCATGTTACATGTATATGTAATCTCACAATTGCATCTCAATCTTGGGCACAACTTTCCCTATACACTTGGGGTAATTGGACAACTGTCTCCAGCTGTGTTTATTTTTCATTAACATATATCTGGCTAGGGCCATTCTCCCGACGAAAGTATTTCAGCAAAGATACCTTTTTCCAAGGACAAAACTGCACATAGATAAACATTAGCTCATCTCACTCACAGATAGAGAAAAGAACCACTAACAATTAAATCCTCAACCCCTTACCTTCACCCCGAGTTATTTACACAGGACCCTAACTTAGGAGATTTACTGCTCACATTCCTGGGATGAAGTTTTAGCCATTTGCTAGATACTGAGTTAAGGTAGTTACTTCCCACTGACCCAAGGAGATTGCCTCCAGGCCAGGCAGGCAATAGGTGCCAAGCTTCTTTCTTGTGCAAATTAAGTTTTTATTCCTCCTCAGCCAGGTGCTATTCCTAGATTTTCTCCTTGGCAATTACTCTGAGTGAAAGTGCTTTTACTAACCAAATACATGCTCTGACAAAGGTTGCTTAGCCATCTAGCATATGTGCCCTCCCTATCAGAAAGCAGCTGCAGCTGGGATGAGTGGGAAAAGCAGTGCCAAAGACAGTTTACTTTCTCGTGACTTACTGACCCCTAACATTCTATCTAGCCATTTCTAGATTATAGTTTAGCACATAAATTCCCTAATTGATCTTAGCCTTTAGTTGCCCCTACCAGAGAATTCCCCTTTAGTCATTCCCCTTTTGAATTGTAATTGGAAGCTGACAATTAATTGCTTTATGAGTGGGTCCTTATCACCTCTCTCTGAGACCTTGAAAACTTCAAGCCCCACATTGCTTTACAAAAGAATTACTGTGTGGGCATATATACTGGTTCTTTGAGAGCACTGGGAGAAGAGGATTGATGGAGAGGAGAACAGGATTGATGGAGAAGAACAAAAATGAGGACGGAGATGGAAAGAACTAGGTAGAATGATGAGAGAAGGGACTGAGAGCAGGAGGGACTAAGAGCAGGAAGGACTGAGGAGCTAAGTAAGAGAGCAGAAAAGAAACTGTGCAGATAGAATCACCATGGAAGAATAAAGGGAATGGACTAAAGAACTCAGTGTGCTTAGATTCATTGAATATCCCACAGATTAGAATCCTCAGCTGGTTGGTAGACTCTTCCGCAGACCCTGGGAGCAAACAATATAGGCTGGACCTATTATTGTTTGCGTTAGGTGTTCTCAGTAGCTAATTGGGTCACTGTCTTCAAATCTCACAGCCCTGAGGTTTGGGAAAGAGATACTGACAAGGAAGATGAACATTTCTGAGGGATATGCTGGGAAAGAAAGCCTCACCTGGACAACTTGACCTTTGACAAGTCAGTATCTTTTGCTTAATGGACAAGCTGTTGTCATGGAGATATCTCTCAGTTTGGCTGGCCTGCTCTCACCTTGGCTTCCTTCTGTAATGCCGTCTGTGGTCACACAAGAATAGAGATGCTGGTAGGAAGGTCTGTGCTGGTTGCCACGGCAGAGCCTCTGCTCTGAAGGTACCAGTGGGTGGGATGCAGCAGCCCTGAACATCCTTTAAGCCCTACAAACCCAGCCCCTGGTGCTGAGATACTAAAGAGAACAAGTCACAGGCCAATTCTGAAGGATCTCAAAGTCTGGTGAGATTAGTGCCTTGGTAACTTCAAAAGAAAATGTTCCTAAGCAACACACAGTGGGACAGACATACAGACAGAATCTCACAATTCAATTAATTGCATGAATGA